TTCTCTCCCCTAGACCACAGTGGGAATAGAGGGGAAGAATGCTTGAAAGTTACAGGATTCCTTTAATGACTGCTAGCAGTAATTGTCGCTGCCACAAAAACATAATGCCACCATTCTCCTCACTCTCTCACCCTTATACGATCACCCACCTCTCACCCTCTCCTAAGAGAGTATGCTGGTGTCTTTCTTCAGATACCTTTCAACTGCTCTTTCTGAGCCTTCAATGACAGCTAACAAACTGAGCAGTTCCGAGTAGTGGGAGGGGGATATGGTGAGTTTCCAGAGGAAAAACGAATTATGAGGATAGGCCCTAGCTGGTTTGGCTCAGTGGATAGAGCATCAGCCTGCGGACTGAAGGGTCCCAGGTTTGATTCCGATCAAGGGCACATGCCCAGGTTGTAGGCCTGATCCCTAGTAGGGGGCATGCAAAAGGCAGCCAATCGATGATTCTCTCTTCATTGAAGTTTCTATCTCTCTCTCCCTCTCCTTTCCTTTCTGAAATAAATAAAAATATTTTTTTTAAAAAGAATTATGAGGACAGGATGCAAAAGGCAGAAAGGACTTAATAAAGGCATCCCAATCATGGATGCTATAACTCAAAGCTAAATATCAGGAAGTGTATTATAATTCAACCTCCCTACAGAATCACTACGTGGTTTAATATTCTTTCATCTGACCTCAGGTCACAGGGTGTTGCTCATACTCCACAGAGAAATGGAAAGCTGGACAGTGCATGAGGATGGAAGAACAAAATGTTCTCTCCCTCTTTCAGTTTCCAGGAATGCTCAGCTCTGGTGAGGAGCAGTCACTCAGAGAAGAATTTGCCACAGTCACGGTGGAGGGACTGCCCAAGGGTGTTAATATTCAAGAGATGTGGTCACTCATCATATATCAGGACAAAAAGGAAGTTAGTAAGGATAAGAAAATATCATTCTGGTTTTCAAGCTGACTAAATACCTCATCGATTTAAAACAATAAAGATAATCACCATATCGTTGTCTGTGGGTTTTTGGTGTTTTCTGTTTGTTTTGCTTAATCCTTTCACCTTTTGCACACAGCCTCCCAGGGGGGAGGTAGAAGAGGGTATGGGGGATAAATGGTGATGGAAGGAGTCTTGACTTGGGGTGGTGGGCACATACTACAATATACAGATGATGTGTTATAGAACTACTAGGGGCCTGGTGCATGAAATTTGTGCACGGGGGTGGCGGGGGAGAGAGAGAGGGGGAATCCCTCAGCCCACCCCACCTCTCCCCTGCTCGCCCCTAACCACTCTGCCTCAGCCCCTGCCACATGGCTTTGTCTGGAAGATGTCTGGTCTATCCGGTTGGTCTAATTAGCATATTTCCCTTTTATTAGTATAGATACTCCTGAAACCTATATAATTTCACTAACCACTGTCACCCCCATAAATTCAATAAATAAATAAATAAATAAATAAATAAATAAAGTGGTGAATATCCTTTGTGTAGATTTAGACCCCTGTCTTGGTTTTTGTAAGTTCTAGGCTTCCTGGGGTAACTACTTTATTCATGAGCTTTTCAACTCTAGTTTCATGAGGGAAGTATTCCTTGTGTGGATGATGCGAGTCTCCTGGATTTGTCTGCTGTCACATAACATGGATAAAAACGTCCTCAGATTTAAAATGATGCTGTAGGACAAAATTTTGATAGATCTCTTTACTCTTAAATAGTATTAAAAACAGTAGTCCCATTTGGGCTTTGTAATAAAATATTGATTCACATTTATAAATCAACTTAATTATAAGATAGTCTTTTTACTGTTATCAGTTTTACTATTATCTATTCAGTATCTGCAGTTGACCCTTGAACAACACAGGTTTTAACTATATGGGTCCACTTATATAAGGATTTTGTTTTTTTCAAGAAATGCCTGTACTGTTTTTGAACAGTGGTTAGGAGTCTGTGGATGTGGAGGGGCAACTGTATACTAGTATGTTGATCTATGCTAGTTTATATAGGGGATTTGAGCATCCTCCGATTTCGGTATCTGGAGAGGTTTTAGAAATAATCCCATGTATATACCACGGGATAACTTAAGGTTTGGGGGAGTCAAAAGTCATACACAAATTTTTTTCTGTACGAGGGCTCAGGGCTTCTAACCTCTGCGTTGCTCAAGGGTCAACTATCATTACCGTTCTCCTGAGATATATGCATAATTTTAAAAATCTAGAACTAAGAGTCCAGGGGAAAGAACAACTTTCAAGTCGTTAACCAAAAACAATCATTAAAGAACTCTAATAACTTGTCAGAGATTTATTTTTATATAGCTTGCCAAAAAGGGCATGCTTTAAGGTACAGCATGGCCAAGATTCTTCTTCAGACTCATAGTTACAACCAGAACCAAACTTATACAAATGCAGCCAGACAAGAAAACCAGTCATTATATGGAATGATTTGGGGGTGGCCCTTCTCCTCGCTCTGGTTGCTATTGCAGCTCCATCATTGCTCTCTTGCATTTTAATTCAGGGTTTTCAAGCCAGGTGGAAGGCCGATTTTCCTTGGAGAGAATTTACACATTAGCATTAATGATGAATGTGAACACAGTTTTTATATGTAAACTGAAAATTGGAAGAGGTAGTAGCACTTTCCAGAGAGAAGGCTGTGGGGATAGGAGTGGGCGTTCACACACCACAGTTCTGGCTGCTCCCATCTTTCGGAGAACAGAACACGCACACCAGTGAACGTGGGAAAGACTACTCAAAACAGGAGCCACAAAAAACTTTCTGATTCTAATGTCAGAGGCCGAATTCTTGAATAGCCTGGGGACTTCTGAATACAAGTGTGCTTTAGAAATTCAGGAAGTTTTAGGGAGTCTTTGTGAGGCCAGGGAAAGAAATGGGGAAGACAACTCAGTATTTAGTTTCAACCCGATTAAATCATTTACAAAGATAAAATGAGATATTTTAGTGGCTTCAGTAGAGCATGACAACTAAAAATTCACTTCATTCATTTAACAAAAGACTGGCCAAAAAGATCAATGAGAAGAATGTAGAATTGAACCTTTTCACTATGACTTAGTCTAGAAGACTAAGTTAGTCAAATAACTCTCACACAAGGAATAAAACAGAAAACAATAGAAACTGCCAGGTAAACTCCCTCAGAAACCAGCTGAGAGCACCCTCAAAAGTGGAACAGCATCCTTTATTGAGCCCCATCTCTGCCCCCTTAAAAGGGCCGGATGTATTCCTTTCTGGTGGTCCCTTCCCTGGCCCTTGTCTTCATGTATTTTCTCCTTTTACTAGAAACAACCATTTACAGATAAGTTCCTGGCCTTGCCATCTTTTTACCTCTCCTAGGGTCACACAATATATTACCTACAGAAGAACTTGCAATAACTTATTGCTGATAGTAATGTTTTATTGATAGGCCACTCTACTTAACATCATTACTATTAATTCCTAGTTTCTAACAACTGTGATTTGGTGAATACACTTTCATGTCCCTGTCAGATGGATGGGTCTTGCTATTATATTACATTGCTTTACCTCACAAGTGTTCTTTATTTTATGAAGTATGGACACTTGTTGGAGCGGTATTATAGATGTATCAAAACATTATAAAAGAAGACATTTTACATTAAATAAGAAAGCTTTCTATTAAAACAGCCATTTATACAGATTTTAAGGCTCTTTTGGTATTTGTCATACTCAATTCAGCAATTTTGTTAGTCTTCACTAATTTTTACTTCTCAAGAACTCTTCAAGCAAAGCAAAATGTGTGTTATTTGATTTACAAAGCAGCATTCTTAGTTCCCAGATTACCGACTTGGGGATTTCTGGTGGTACTTTGAAACAGCATAAGAACTAATCATATAAAATCAGTTTCAATACAAGACAATGTAAGCAAGTTCAAATAAGGCATGAATCATTTCCTCTTAAATACAAAACAACATCCGAATGAATCAATTAAAGAATTCTCCTGGACAAGGGACATGTTTAGAATATTTTACTAACTCGAAATCTTGCATACAATCTTCTTTTCTTAAGTAAAGTCCATGAAAGTTTATTTGCCAAATGAAATCTAGGAGGTATAGGACTAAATGTCTGAACAATCATGCTCTCATAAAAATTTTAAGAAAGCCATTATTGGTTGAGATATGGTTCTCTGAACTGTGTTCCAGATCTCCAAGTAAGATATTTCTCATGAAGCTCAATACTATAATAATGGCCTTTCAGAAGGCATCATAGGCCTGGTACAGTCCATTCTAAAGTTGATAATTCTAAGTGACTAAATAAATGAAAACGGAGTGAGCAGTGGGGGTAGGAAAAGGGGGGAGGGATTTACAAAGCAGAACACACATATCAAAGTAATTACTATTCAAACTTTCCAAAAGGGCTTTTGTATTACTTGGACTTCACTGTGCAACAAGAAAAATCACGTACAGATGGTATGTTCTTGGGAGATTTTTGATAAACGATTAAATAAAAAAAAAGTTTTTTCTTGTAAATGATTTCTTGTCATTTTAAATCTTTAATTCTTTCAGAAAATATTGTTTACTAGCAAGGCTTTTATTCTACTGTCTATTTCCTGAAGTTTATGACTCATAACTTAGTAAAACCAAGTTGTTTTACTATGAAAGGACACGAAGGGCTGGTTTTCTTCACTGTGTATTCTATGTATTTGGTCCATCCTTTTTGACAAGAAGCTTTTGCATGTATATTCCTATTCTGTATTTTATTATACTCTCTGGACTAAAACATATTAAATAAGGCAATAATATTACATAATCAAATCATTTTATGGTATAATTCCCTTCTTTTTAAAAAAATATTTTTATTGATTTCAGAGAAGAAGGGAGAGGGAGAGAGAGCTAGAAACATCAATGACGAGAGATATTTCAAACATCCAGCATGCCTCTTAGCCTGCACCCAGGCATGTGCCCTTGACTGGAATCAAACCCAGGACCCTTCAGTCTGCAGGCTGACACTCTATCCACTGAGCCAAACCAGCCATTGTTTTAAGAAGATAAACTCCTACCTTTGAAGGTCTGAACACCTTGTTCTTCTTTTTAATACTTAAAACCAAATGTCTTCTCAGTATTGCTCTGTGGGCTGAAGAGTAGGGGGAAATGTTAGTAAGCCATTTGTCATCAATCACAGCAGATTGTCAATACATTAATTCCAAGTGACTCCCTAATGGAAAAGACAATTATAGGGGGACCCCGGTAAGGGAATTATGAACAGATTTGGCAAAACACTTCACTGCTGGCTTCAATCAAAAGTGACAGCAGAGAGGTAACTAAAATTGTGGTGGCTAGCCTCTTAATGGATCTCATCCCAAAGAGTCACGTCTATTTTCTCTTTTCAGTTTAGGGGAATAGAGGTTTTCGTAATGCTTTATACAGTGTGGCTAAAATACTTTCTTGCTGTGGGCTGCTTGTTGTTATTATTATTCCTATCATCATCATTATTTAAAATGTTCATTTAGTAGAATTGGAATTCTTTTGACTGTTTTTGAAAGGCCCCAAGTTTTCAATGAGGGTCCTAAGTTAATGATGGGAACAGACAAGAGAGGAGCAGCATACCTGGGCTAGGACAAAGGCTCAGCTAAGGACAGCTCCAGAGCTTGGTCCTCTCCAACTCTCGTCTCCTCAGCCTAAATGTTTCCTTTGCAAATATTCCAGCTGAGAATGAGCCAGAAAAAGACAGCATGGAGTACAATCACAGCAGAGGGCATTAGGTTTCACTGGTTGGTTTTTCAGACAACCAAGTCAGTGACATCACGGTTTTCTAAAGGAGGATCTGTGGCTTTTTGGACAATGGATTTTTGGAAACAGAAGTCATACTATCAACCTCTGAAAAATCCTTCAGAGACCAGAAACAAGTGTCAATTCAGGAACTCCTGGCTGCACTCAAATATTAAGACAACTATGAATCTCAAATGATTCCTTTAATAAAAATAAAAGATCTGTAATCAGCTCAGATGTTTTCGTTTAAGCATGTGTTATAGAATATTTTCTGTATTAAACTGCAAAAAGGTTTAATTAATTACATGTAAAACCAATCTTAATAGAGATGTTCATTGGGTTTGATGCAATGAAATTTTATCAGAACAAAATGATAATGTTGTGAAGGTTAGTGGCTCTTCCTTGGAATTAAAAGCCATTTTTAAAAGTTCCAACTTGAAAAAAAACTCTCTAGCAACATACAGGAAAGAGTCCACAAGGATTTAAAGCTACGTACACAATAATAATGCAATTCCACAAACATACTGAACATTTACTATGTATCTGTCAATATATTAAATATGAATAAGGAACAAAGAATAAAATGTAAATAAGATATGCTTCCTACCATAATGGATCTCAGTACAGATGCTACTGGGAAAAACAGAACTACTACCAATCACCATAAAATGCACTGTTTATAGAACATTATGAGGCCACAAAAGAAGGGGGCATCAAAGAAGGCTTTCTACAGGAGATAACAGAAGAGCTGGACCTTAAAGGTGGGTAGAAGGGCATTCTGAATAGAGGAAAGGCAGGAGCAAAGTAACTACAATGATGAAATGGGTGATGTCATCTAGTAGAGCAATGAAGCTACAGGCAGAGTGATGAAGGGGAGGTGGGGGCAGGGAATATGGCAAAAAGGGGATGCTGCAGAGGTCACCTGGAACCGAGTGTAAAGGGCCTCTTGAGCACCTCCTGATTTATGAATCTGGACTTGAACGTGATAGCAATGTAGACCTATTGAAGATTTTAGGAGAGATGAAAGAAAACTTGTCAGTACTGTAACTGACTGAGAGGGTAGAGATTGGAAAGGGAGACTGTTTAGGGGGGTGTTTCAGTTACCAACATACAAGATTATTGGCTTCCTGGGGTAACAGCTGCCTCCTCCCTAAGCCCACATTTGCCTCCTTCCCAGGGTACACAGATGGAACACTGATTTAGGGGTAAGCACACTGATTTGGCCATGACAGCGGATAGTATTGCACATGTTTTACTTTATCAGTGGAATAATTTGGTGATTTTCTGGTGTCCCAATATGTGAGTACATCTTCTGGGTAGAATTTTATTAGGTCAGCAGGTGGCTGTGGTCTCATTTTTCTTCTCTCCACCTAGCCATCTCTCCATCTTCCCACCATCTCTCTCTTTAGGGCAACGCAGCTCTGTTTTGGGGCCTGCCCAGGACCTGAGGCAGGTAGATTAGCCCAGTGCCATACTTTACAGTCGAGAAACATCTTTCTCTTCATCTTGCAATGTTCATGTCTGACACTGGTTTGGGCTTAAGAAAATCAGAGCCTGCCTAATGGAGTAGTTTACATTCAGGTCATTCAAGCCAACCTCATCAGGGTAAAGAACTTGTCACTTCTTCTTGCCTATTGGGACTTAAGACCAAGCCTCAGCTAATAATACATTTGTACTTCCTTTTGCCTTGTCAACATCAGCACTACAAGTATCTTATTTGGGGACCTCACAGGCACAACAGAACATAAACGTTCTTGTGTTTCCTGGCCAAAGCATACTACAATCCTTCATCTCCAAAAATTCATGGTAAGATGTATATGCAACTCAAAAGGGTAGCCTATTCCTTCCTTCTTCAAGTCCATCTAAAACAAATTTCTGTGTATGGAAAAATCAATAGAAACTTACAGAGCGCTTTAGTTTGCTGACCCAAGCCCTTTAGGGGAATCTTCACGCTAAATATTTGGCACCCTTCACTGTGAATGAAGAGCCTATACCACATTGCTGTGGAGCAATTGCTGAAAATCTGTTCGACAGATGACCAGAGGCCACAGCTAAATATAGAGAAATGAACCAATCAAAAACACATGTCAATAAAAATACTTACTGTAATTTTTACCTAGAAGAGATAATAGACTACTACTATGTCCCAGACCCTGCATACATACTGCAGGTGATGCACCAATTCTGTAATTATCCTATTGCTTCAACACAGAGGCAGAAACAGAAGCAATGAGGTTAAGTAAATGACCCTATATATCTGTAATACAATACTGCTTCTGTCCACATATAAAACTTGCAGTTTTTTCATCTTTACCCTATGGCTTTTGAGAGAGGACAGAATGAACTTGGAGTTGGGGTGCCACTGAGATTTACGGGGAGGGCAGAAGTTGTCAGAAAGAGTGATCAGACTGAGAGAGAGGTATTGAGGAAGCCAAGCACTAAGAGGACAAGGAGAGGAGAAGGGTGGTCCACAGGGTGGACCTGCAGGAAGGACCCAATGGAGAGACCTTAGCAGCTGTCAGTGGGAAGTCCCCGCAGCCTGAGCTGGTAACTATCACTACCTTCCCAGCGACTGTCACTAACACCTAGCTGCACTATCATTTCTATGCCTCTCTGCCAAGTATATATTTTTTTTATTAATAATGTTTTACAAAAGTAGCAGGAATAGAAATACTACTAGGAATGGTGTGGAAGATGTTTTTGAATATAAATTTTAAAGAAGAGTCAATGTGGTTCTTTTGATTAGTTTGAATAGTTTTTAGTATAATTCAATTCAGCACACCCCACCCTGAGAAGAACACATGTAGTTTTGCATAGGTATGGTTTCCCATAGGCATTATGTAGAAACATTATTTCATCCTTGCTATTATTGAGAGGGCACTGCTTCAGTTTAACCTCCCTGTGATGATTTAAACCCTCAAGCTTTACAAAGACCACCAGAAGACTATGTATTGATTGTATTGCCATGTCAGCAAGTATGCCAAACATTTCTAGGGAATGAATTTTTGTTACATTCATTACTCTTGCTTTGACAACTGTGTCAATGGGTTTTCATCACTCTAAAACACATTCAGATTGATGGAATAGAGTAATACATCATTGCTAAGGGTTATTTTTCTAATAACCAAGTAAGAGTTTACTTTTTTTTTTAACAAAATATAATCAACTTATCCTAAATCAAAAGGTCAAGATGAGATCTGATGTAATTTAAAAGTAGCCTTCAGAAAAGATGAGTAACATCTAGGTGAAAAATGTAAACCCAAAGGCCACAGTACACACAATGAACCAATTACAATGAAAGTAATTCAATGGCACACTAAGTATTACATAAAAATTCAATAATTCAAGGAAGTGAGTACTTGCCTTAGCCACTCATAGAAAAATAAAATATTGACCCTCCCTTAATCTTTCCAAAGTAGATTGGACTATTATTGCAGAAATTATTTTTGTTTTTATTTTTTTAAATGTTAGAATCCAAAACATTTAATACAACTGAAAATCTGTTATTGTAAAAACTAGTTCGTACAAATGATCATCAAGCACAAACCCTCAATGTCTCATTTGGTTTATACTCTCTGGAATAATTATGAGGATCTTAAACATACATATTCTTTGGTTCCTGTGAGGTTAATTTCTAAAAATTGGCCTTATTGATGATATAGCAAAGGGCAGATTACATTAAAATATCAAGCATCTGATCCCTCACACTTACTCTGTTTTCATCTGTGAGAATTATTTCCTATTTATGCTCTTTAAAAGTAAACATAGCTAAGAAATACTTTTTGGAATATCAATTTTGAAAACCTTACATGTAACAATATATTTATGCCCCTACACTATTACATATTTCTGTAAGCATGCAAAATTATTTTGTGCTTTTATCACTTTAAAATTATGGCAATTTACAAATTTATTTTTTAATCTTTGGTCTTAACAAAACTTTAGTAGTATCAAAATCATGGACTAACCCAGAAACACTTATTTTTTCTTAACTTCCTGCTTTTGACATGATCTTTTGACTGAATTTGGGGTCCATTCATACTTATTAACTGGAGAGAAAAGGATAAACAACCCTATTAAAATTGGCATTTGTCTTTGGTTTCTCTGGGGTATGTCTGTCGTCCAGCAGCTTAATTCAACTTGGCGTGGGAAGCTGCCAAAATCATCTTGAAACCCAGTTCTCTCCATTTCAGCAGGCTACAGAACTAGTCCATTCCAAAAGGCATAGAGCATGGTCTGAAATAAAGCAGGTTCTCCAACTAGTACCTCAACCAGACGGTGCCCAGAGGGGCCAGCCTCTACCACCCCCTGGCTGACTGGTGTTCCAGGAACACAAGATCCTGACTTCTAGCCCCAATTTCAGCC